AATGACAGACATTAGGAAGTGCTGAGCCTCATCAGAATTTCTGGTATCAGTGTCCTCCCAAAACAGTCATTAGAGTTCCTTTGGCAATGTTTGGATTATTTCAACCCTCCTGGTTTAAAATCCTCGAGTATCACAAGCAGAGCGGGGAAGGGAGCCCGGGGGGGGCAAGGGAGGTTTTTCTTTCTTTAAACTATTTATATTTATTTATAATTCCTGCTGTCCCCTGGAGCAGAGTGACAGAAATCTTGCTGGAAAATGCCACCACAGCAGGTCGGGGAGCGATTCCTGCCTCAGGAAAATCCTTCCCAAGGGGAATGTCCAACCCTTTGTTCTCTCCAGCCCACTTAAGGCAGGAAAATAATTTGATAATTTTAACTCCTATGAGTTTTGGAGACCTGGATTTCATCCCTAAAGCTGAGGAGGACCCAAAAGTTTGTTGTTTTTTTTTTTTTTTAATGTAAAAGAGAAGATATTTGTCTTGTTATTATAGATATGGAACCATGGAATGGGTTGGGTTGGAAGGACCACATATCCCACTGTCCCAGGTTGCTCCAAGCCCTGTCCAGACTGGTTTTGGACACTCCTAGGATGGGAAATCCATGGAATAACCTGGGACCCTCATAGGGAACAATTCCTTCCCAAAATCCCACCCAAATTCCCCCTCTGTCCCCCTGACCCTATTCCCTGCGTCCTGTCCCTGCAGTTCCTGGGGAAAATTCCCTCTCCATCTTCCCTGGAGCCCCTGCAGATCCGGGAGGGGCTCTGGGGTCTCCACAGGCTCAACATTCCCAACATTCCAGCCTGGATCCATCGAGGAGGGGCTCCAGTCCCTTTATCAACTTCGTGGTCTCCTCTGGGCTTGCTCCAACAAATCCAGGTCCCTTTTATGTTGGGGACAACAGAACCCAGCACAGAATTCCTGGTGGGATCCCATCAGAGAGAGCAGAGCAGGAGAAGCTCCTTCCTGACCCCCCTGCCCATGGATGCAGCCCAGGACAGGGAGGGATTCTGGCCAGCTCATGCCCATGGATCCCATATATAAACCCCATAAATATCAGACACGTGAATGATATCACAAGACGCGGCTCAAACGAGTTTTTCCAATAATTTCATCTAGGAAAAAAATTTTTAAAAATCCAAAACCCTCACACCATAAAAATTAACCACATTTCTCAGATGCTGCTTTAATTGATCCTGTGCCTTGGCCTGCACCTATCCTAGGACAAATTATAGGCAGGAGAAGAACCTGAAAGAATCAATGGAACCCCTGTCATTAATTGTGACGGAAATCCCGGAGTGCTCGGGGTAATTCTCCTCAGCTCCCCGGCTGTTTTACGTCACCAAAATGTGCAGTGCCCACCTCCCTGGTGGGGCCACGAGGTAAAGAACCAATCCATGGGCTCCCAGCTGACCAGGAATTGGGGCTGGAGCTGTTCTGTGTAGCCTCCAGCCACATTCCCAGTTGTCCTCCGGGTGCTTTCCCAGAAATCCCTCTGTCCTGGAAAGCCTGGAGATGAAAGAATCTCCCGGGCTGTAATCACAGTGCCCAGCCCCAGGAATTCCAAAATTGTCCTAAATGCGGAGGGAAACAATTATAGCAATTGGGCTGCTGATGTACTTCCCAAATTTGTCCCGTGACTAAGGGGAGCTCTCGGGGAACTGCTCCGACCTCCACAATGGGAATATAAAAATGCTCGCAACACCGGCACTCCTCACACGGCTCCTCTTGGTTTGCTCTTCCCACTGAACTCGGTAAGTCCAGCTTGCATTCTCCTGGAGAGTCCTTGAATTTGGGGGGAAATCCTTTGCTCATGGGTGTTTTCTCCTGGATGTTTTTAATCTGGAGGGATCAATGCATGGACATTCCCATGGAATGGGAAATAATGGGAAGCTGTGTTAGAAGTTCTGGGTTTCTTTTTTTCCAGTGGTGACACCTGGAATTTTCAGGCCCAGGCAGAGTGGTTGTGCAAGGAGGAAATGGCTCTTTGTGGCGGGATGTTGCAATGGGGAATATGGAAAAGTCCCAGGAATTGTTTTTGTCCCACTGGAGTCCCTAGGGTAGCTCTGAGCTGCAGGGTTTAAACCTTCTCTGTCCAGCAGAGTGTCCTTGCTAGAACTGGCACTAACAAAGCCAGTGTTGCCTAGGAGAAGGAATTGTTTATGTGCCAAGATTAAAAGCAGACAGGGAGGCTGGAGACTTAATGAACTCCTTGAGTTGTGCGTTTCCAAGAACTCCAGAAAACGCTGGGAGGGATTAGAGTCAGACACTGGGACTCCTTCACTGAGATGGGATTTACCTCAGCTGCCTGTCTTGGGACACCACACAAATCCCTTCTTCAGGAAGATTTTTTTTTTTTCTTGGAAAGGGTTTTCAGGATTTGGAAGGGAGGTTTGGAGTCCCCATCCCAAGGACTGGAAGTGGCACTCAGTGCTCTGGGCTGGGGTTGGACTCGGTCTTGGAGGTCTTTTACAGCCTCAATGATCCTGGGATCCTGGGGTTCTGGAATCCTGGTGTTCTGGGATCCTGGGATTCTGGGATCCTGGGGTTCTGGAATTCTAGGATCTTGGGATTCTAGGAATCTATGACATGAAAATGCCATGCAAACCTGAGGGATTCACCCAACATTTCCACCCAACCGCACTCACCCACACCATGACTCCGCCTTTACAAACCCTTTTTCTCTCCCTTTTTCTCCCATCCTGTCCCAGGCTCACCTCCACCCCCGCCCCCCAAGATGTCCTGCTGCTACTCCACGTGCTGCTACTCCCCACGCTGCTACTCCCCACGCTGCTACACCCTGTGCTGCTCCCCCTGCTACCGCACCTGCACCCGCACCTACAGCTGCAACCCCTGCATCTCCCGCACGCTGAGCTGCTGCCGCCGCTCCTACGGCAGCTGCTGCACCTCCCGGAGCTGCACCACGCGCTACTACTACCCGTCGTGCTGCTCCTACTCCTGCTGCTACCCCTGCTGCTGATCCCAGGGGAAAATCCCCGCGAACGGACCCGCGCCCACGGAAGACGAACGGATGAGCCCGCTGTTGATGTTTGCACAAGTGCGGAGTCCCCACGGTGAAGTCACCACAAGTGGGGGCTTTGCCGTGCTCTGAAACCTCTTGGAATTTCTGGTTTTGTTGTTCTCTCTGTCTCCTTCTTCCTGCCTTTCTCAACTCTCCTGATATTCTGCATTTAAACCTTCCCACGGCCCCTTCAGCAACGGGAGGGGCGATCTGCAATTCATGTGAAACTTCTCGGAGTTGCTGCAATGGGGCTGGAGGACCTCTGTGAAATTAGATTTAGTGTCATCTGCATTTTCAATAAGCACTTCCAGCACGGCGCTGCAGCCCTGGGTGAGGGAGCGTTACGGCTGTCTCGCCTTTGATCTGCATTTACAAGGACCTGAAGGATGAACAACACAACTTCAGCAAAAAGGAATGTTCTGGAGAGCAGTGACTCATCTCCCGGAGCTGCCTCCAGCATCCCAAAACTATAATCTTTCTGTATCTGTGCCAGCTCTTTTTCTTGTTCTATTAAATACTTTCTGCATTTGAAAAAAAAACAACCTCTGGAGATCCAGTTGTTTTCTTGCCTGTGTCCTTGGTTTGGGTGGATATTCTGGGAGCTGTGGAATTCTGAAGGGACTTTCTGGACTCAAATCCGTGTCCAGCTCTTGGCCCTTCCTGGCAAGGGGGCATTGAGGGGCTGGAGAATGTCCAGGGAAGGGAATTGGGCTGGAGCAGCTGGAAAATGGAATGGAGATTCCCGAGGGAGGCTCAGCCTGAAGAAAAGGGGGATCCAGGGGGAATTTTGGGCTCTTCCAGGGGGGATTTGGGATCTGATCCCAGGGAACAGGGACAGCACAAGGCCTCAAGCTGTGTCAAGGGAGCCTCAGGTTGCACATGAGGAGAAATTTCTTCCTGGTCAAGGCTTGGAAGGGGTTGCCCAGGAAGAATGAGGACATTTCTACTGGTTTTTTTTTGTCTTTAGGTGTATTTGCCTTTTTTCCCCCACTTCCCCCCCACCCCCTCAATTTTCTGGCTTCTAGTCCTTGGATTTAATGTGTTATTGCAACTCCACATGTAAAAATGGATTTTATTCAGCTCAAATGGATTTTCTTCTGTTCTGTGTGGAAGATCAAGAGAATGGTTTGAGTTTTCCAGGTCAACATCCACACAAGCAAAACCACCACCTTACCCTTTTGTCCTGTCCCTGTTCCCTGGAATCAGATCCCAAAATTCCCCCTGGAAGAGCCAGAAATTCTCCATGGATCCCCCTTTTCTCCAGGCTGAGCTCCCCAGCTCCCTCAGGATCCTCCATTCCCTTTTCCAGCTGCTCCATCTCCATTCCCTTATCCAGACACACTCCTGCCCCTCAATGTCCATCTTGGCATGAGAGGCCCAGAACTGGACACAGGATTGAGTTCATAATTTTGTCTCCCAATCCTTCTGCTGTGAAGGATTTCATATTTGTACGTCCTCCACCCAATTTCTGGCATTCATTTGAATTTAAAATAAGCATTATAAAGAGCAGACAGGGTGCTGAGGCTTCCTCAGGATTTTGGATACCAAAGACTTCAAGCTGTCTGTGAAACTTAAATGACAAATAAACCCAGAAATGCTGAATTGATGCAGAAAAAAAATCTTTAATAGGAATGAAAGGCAGAGATAACTTTAAAGAGATACAGAATGGAAAGACCACACTCCCAAAAGTCACATGACACCCACATCATCCAGTCAGAAGGAACTTTTTGTACAGCACTGCCAAAAACACGGAGTTTGGTTTGCTAGGAGGACTGAGGAGAAGGTCTGGGTCGAGAGGAGAGCTGGGGCAGCAGGATGAAGGTGAATCACCCCCAGCACTTCAGCAGCAGTGCAGAGTTCTCAGAGCACCCCGGCTTTGCCTCTTGTCCCCAAAACTCTGCCCAGCCATGGTCTCCACTGCTGGACTCTCCATCGATCCCACCAAACCCGGGCTGGGTTTCGGGGTTGCTCCCTCTGGCTTTAGCAGCTGTAGCAGCCCCCAAAGCCGAACCTTTGGCCGTAGCGGGAGCCGAAGGGGTACCCGTAGCGGCTGGAGTAGAACCCGGGGTATCCATAGCAGTCCCCAGAGCCGTAGAAGCCCCGGTAGCCCCCATAGAGCCCCCCAGAGCCGTAGCAGTCCCCGGAGCCGAAGATGCCCCGGTAGCCGTACAAGCTGCCGTAGCCGTAGCGGTCCCCGAAGCCGTAGAGGCCGCGGGAGCCGTAGAGGCCCCCGTAGCTCCGGTAGCCGCAGGGGCTCCCGCAGTCATAGCCCCGGTAGCCGTAGAGACCCCCGTAGTTGCAGGAGGAGTAGCAGTCATCGTCGCACTGGCCTTGGAGGAAAGTCATCTTTGGGAGATGGAGGTAAAACCTGCGACGGGGAAGAAAGGAAGAGTGGTAAATACTCCAAGGAATAGCAGGAACCTCAGAGCCTGAAATCTTCCTCACCGGTCCCGTGAGAACAAAGGCAGAGGAAAAGCTATGACCTCAGCTCCTCCTTACGCTCCATCTATTTAATCCGCTCATCTACCCACTGCCTTTAAATTATTTTATATCCTATATTAATGTAGATTCAATATATTAGTATTAAACTATTTCGTTACTCCTGGGATTGGTGGAACCCCTGATGAAGGAATCACTGGCCACAGATCAAAACCTTGCTGCTGCTTCAGGGCTTTTTCCAAGGGAATCTTGTTAGGAATTGGCAACCCTAATTTTCTTTTAGGATATCAGCTTTTCATGGAGCTTTGCATTCCTCACTCCATCAGGGAAGTCTTCCCAGAATTTTCCTGTGATAACACCCCTCAGGTTTTGGGTCCATCACCCTAAGACCCATTTCAGTGCTTTCCACCCATTTTAATTTGCACCTGGAAATGTTGAGAGCCCACAGAAGAAACCACAGAGAGTGGACACACATGAGAACATCTGTGTGGCCAGACAGAGCCAAAATCCTGCTTAAAATAGGAGATTTAAGAAAAAACCCACCAAGAGTCATGGTGGGAAAACCCTTTCCTACCTCTGCTGTCCTGAAAATCCCTTATCAGGGAACCCAGGTACCAACAGGACCAGGAAAGTTCTACTTAAAGCTTTAAAATTGAACCCAGCAAGCCCAGGTAAAAGGAACAGCAAATCCTGACAGTTCAGAGGATACACAACCCCAACAGAAATTCTGAAAGGAAAATTCCCAGTCCAGGGGGAGAAAGGAGGAAAAGCTTACCGAGTTCACCGGGAGGAGAAGGCAGGAGAGCTGATGAGGAGCCCTGAGCTCCAAGCCCTTTTTATACTCCAGCTTTGCCCTCCTGGCTTATCTCAGACGCCCTGTGGATTCAAAAGGTTTGGAACCCTACTGGTTGGCAAACAAATTTGCCTGTACACGTCATATCTTCAATTAACATAATTTTCCTCATTGTTTGGGATTATTAGTGTGTTCCCGTATGTCCCATATATTACAGGTTTCTTTCATCTTAACCTTTTCTGGGCCAGCAACATTCCTGATACCATTTTATTGCCTCCATTGTCAAATCCGAAATTTTTTTTTTGTATTATAGAAAAGTCGTTTCTGATTTCTCAAGGTCATTGGAGAGAGAGAAAATTTCAGTTAAAAAAAGGAAAACTTTCCCACATGTTTGAAAGCATTTGTGTTCAGTAGAAAGATGCACCATGGGGTTTTAGCTAAAGGAAATGTAAATGTAGGGATTTTGCATTAAACCTCATCCACTTCAGGAAAAAGGAACAGAACTATAAGTAAATCTCAATTCCAAAGTGCTCCTGAATCAAAGCCATGCTGCTGCAGGAGCAGGAAGAATGTTTTTAACAAAAATCCAACTGCATTTTCTGCATTTCACTGGAGGGTTTGACCCCAGTTCAGCCGAGCAAAGTGGAGAATTCAAACCTCAATTTGATCTGAAAATAAAGAAATTATCAGGATTAGCACTAAAAGAGCATTAAATGAACACTAAAGAACCCTGCTGGTATTTTTTCCACAAAGAATCACCACGTGTAGAAGTTGGGATAGGGAGGAACTCTGGAGTTTAGGGCAGAGCTCCTTGGGTGACCTTCACCTAATTTCTGGCATTAATTTGAATATAAAATAAGCGTAATAATGAGCAAGCAGGATGTTGAGGCTTCCTCCAAATTTTGAATACCAAAGCACTTCACAAACACTCATTATTGTTTTCAATTTGCAAAGTGTTGCTGGATTTAAATACTAATAGTTTGCCACCGAAAGACACCTCCAGATTTAATAATACGGTCACTCTTCAAGGTCTCTGCTTCCTGAGCCATATTAAGGTGATGCTCTTCCATGAAAGTCAAAAAGTACTCCAAAAAATTCACTTAAAATAGGAAGGAATATTTGTGAACCCCCACAAGGTGGTTGGAAAATGTCTTTGGGTTGTTGTTGGAGAAGCTGGGGTACAAACCCAGTGAGAGACCTCCACCAGGAAAGTCATGGAGATGCTGAGTGGAGGCTCCTCAATCCTCAGCACACCAAAGCAAAACCTCTCACTTCGTCCTCCGCCAGCGGCATGGGAGGTGCCAAAGCCAAGCTGATGGACCACATACAAGGCCATGGCCTTAATAATCTGAATATTTTCCCAAATTAATAAATATCTCCTCAACTATCTCCCCTTTTGGCCGCAAGGAATTCAGGGCAATTTCCCTAGAAATGCTTTAAGATTAAAGAAATTCTAAAGGGTTTAGGTTGGCGTAGCGATGCCAAGCACCGAAAATATGAAAATGGTTGTGACGTAGGTTGGAGGAATAAGGTGGGATGACACACTTTGGATGCTATAAAAGCGGACCCCCGACTCCGAAAAGTCATCCGCTCCTCTTGACTTCTCGTCTCAACTTCTCTCCGTGAAGCAGAGGTATGTACTGGCTCTATTCTCCTGTGCATGTTTCTCCAAATATTTCTTTAGAAGTAGATTTATATATAAAATATGAATATGGATATGAATATGAATATGAATATATATTAAATTTATAGTGCTTATTTAATTATTTATTTATTTATTTAATAGGTACTGCTGTGTCTGCATATATTTATATAACACAGAAATACAAACTTGTCTCTATGTGCAGGTACAGACGTTCTGTAGGAAATTTCTTGTCATTTTGGAGCCAACGCCAAGCACAAAATTCCCTGCAATCTCAAGGAACTGCTCCACTCAAAACTTTTTGCTCTCCTTTCCTGTGATTTTTTAGTATTAGGCTTTAAGGTGCTGAAAACTGGAAATTTGCTACCACAATCTTGTAGTAAAAAGTAATTTTCAGTTCTGGGTTACATTCATTGCGTTTTTCTTTCATTTATTACATTTCTCTGATTTCTGGGGCGGGAAAGCTCAGCTCTCAGCTGGCAAAACCCTCATTCGCTACGTTTAGTCAGCAGTTTCCAAAAGTTGACGGGGGAAAAAAAGCACAGTTGTTTGGGATTGAGGAGATTACAAAAATAAACGAGTTAATTAGGAGGGTGAAACCGATGCGCAGGAGGGACCGAGTCGGAGCCTTTGCTCTGCCCTCAGCAGCCCATAAATTTTGTTTCTGGGTGTGTGTTCCAGGCTCTCCAAATCAACAAGGATGAATTCCTTCAAGGACTGCTGTGACAACGCGTGCTGCGCCCTGGCTGGCAATGACAACTTTGGTGGCTTTGGCAGCTCCAACTTCCGGCCCAGGCGTTCCTTCAGCTTCTACCGGGACCAGTGCCAAGATGTGCCCCCGTCCGGCTTCAGGAATGTCGGGAGCTTCTTCCATCCCTCCGGGAACATCCGTGGGACGGTCTACGCCAACCTCAATGGGGACATTGTTGGGAAGCTCTCGGGGAGGATCGAGGGGCTCCCCGGGCTCCTGGGTTGCATGGGTAACTTGGGTAACTTTGGAAACCTGGGATTAAGTCTCCCCTTCTCCGTTCAGTTTGGGGACAGAACACTCTGAGCTGTTCCCAGAGGGAGTAGCGCCCACGGGATGGAATTCAGGACACGGATTCATGGCTTCGGTTCTGGTGCTGAGGAATGCCGAGCGCTCATGGCTCCGACTCTGGGGAATGTGTGGGTGCCAGGCTGTGTAGGACACTCCATGTAACCCTCTGTAGGATTTTCTGTCCCTCCAGCTGTCACTCTCAAAGGGCTGAGGCACCTTTAGAGGTCTTTGGTGGAGTAGAAACAGACTTTTGAGTGTGAGGAAAGTGCTTTTTAAGTTCATCCGCAGCCACTTTGTGTGGAGTTTCTGCAACAAAGTCCACTTTGTTCGACTCTGACCAAAGGTGACTTTTAGCAGAGGAGGTCCTGTTCTCTGTCCCTGCTGTGCCTCACCTGACAGTGAACACGAAAAAAGAAACACATTTGGACTGGCAAACTCCACCATTTCCACCAGGAAAAACATTGCCCACCATCGGGAACGCTCTGCTTGCCAAAGCCCCTTCTTTATCTCTGCCAACTTCTTTCTGTTCCTCACTGTTTCTCATTTCCATTAAAATTACTCTGGTTAGAAGCATCAAATGTCTGCTCTGCTTTTGTCTGGGCACTTTAAGGGGACCCACAGTCACCCTCAGAGCCCTGCAATGAGAGGGCAGTCCAGACTCCGGATGTTAGGGACTGTCACCACATTTCCATCTCAATGGTTCCTGCCTTGGCTCATTTCCCCCACCAGAAGGAGAAACCTTAACTAACCCTTGACTTTGGGTTTACTCAAATATTTCACCAGAAAGAGGCATTTCTTGGTTGATTTTGTCCCCAGAGAGGCTCCTGGAGCAAAGCTGGGGTTTGTTCTTGGACAATAAATCACAAAAAGAGAGATTGAGGGGGAATCTCATGGTCGTCCAAGGCAGGAGATTGGTGACGCTCAAGGTTAAAGCCACCCAAGAGAAAAGACCAAAGGCAGCCAAGCCATGGCCAGCTGCTGGATGGTTCAGCTCCTCTGCAGATGGATCAACCACTTCTTCAGGGAGCTCCTGCCAGCCCCTGCCATGCCCCTGCAGGAGCACTAGTTTGGGTTTGGCATGGTAAAGTTGATCTAGGCCTAAAATATCAAAGGTTATTTAGATTTAGAAAGCTAAAGAAGATTTAGGTCTAAAATATTAAAGATTATTTAGATTTAGAACAATTAAGAGTATTTAGATTTCCAATACTAAGGATTATTTAGATTTAGAATATTAAAAATTATTTGGGCTCTTCAAATATGAAGGATTATTTAGATGTAGAATATTAAAAATTATTTCGGTTTTGAATACTAAAACGATTTAGATTTAGAATACAAAGATGATAGGTGTTTCAACAAGACTCTGCCAGAGCCCAGGCAGAGAGGCCGTGAGCCCAGTTCCACATCAAAGAGCTCAGCAGGAGTCACAAATGTTATTGCAGGAGTGACTGTGAGGGGTCACCTCTGGGCTGATTTCCCAGAGATAGCCATGGCCACCCCTCCTCTTGCCATGGTGGCCTCCTGCAGAAGCATTTCTGCATTTCCCAGCTCTCAGAGCAAAGGCTCGAGAAAATAATTAAGGGAGGAGGTCAGAGAAGCCATTCCATGGGCAGTAAACCAGGGCCAGTCAGCAGAAATGTTGATCCTCCAGCCCAACATCCATTTCTTTCCATCGTGTCACTGATTTCCCCAAAACTCTGACCTGGAGCCAAGGAGCAGAGATGAGCTCGAGCTCCATTTCCTTGTCTGGGCAGGAGCAGTCCCAGCCAAGAGCGAGGTCTGATTCCTCAGTGCCCCAATTTGAGCAGGGCAGCCCCAGATGGGGGTGCCCCAGGAAGGGAGGGGGTCAGGGAGGAGTCTCCCCACAAGCAGAGCACGGCCCTTTGAAAAATCAGAGCGGCCCTTTGAAAAATCAGAGCAGCCCTTTGAAAGTGGCAAAGCCTTTAAGAGAGGTTTTGCAACCCTTCTGCTGTCAGCAGCGAAATGGGCTGGGTTCCCCGGGGAAAGCATTAGCAAATGGTGGAGTCTTGGTAAGCTCAGCTTATCTCCCTGGGATGCCTCTGGCACACAAAGGCTTCTCCTGCCTGCACAGAGACCGGGGAAGGGTTTGGACAGCCTTGCACAGGAGAGGAGATGGAATAAAACCCAGGAAGCCAAAGATTTGGATGAAATTCTGAGTCCTTTGGTCCGACTTAACCTCTGCCCCTGCCCAAGTTTGCCAGCACAACACCATTTGTGATGTCCTTCCCTCCTGAATTCCCCCTTGGATCATTCCCTGGGGCAGGACCCACAGGTGGTGATTTCCTGCCAGTCCCAGCCCTGTCACCCGCCGTCACCTCCCGCCACAACGCTGACCTGGAGCCACCTGGCTCCCACCTCACTTCCTCTTCCTGCTTTGAATGTCGCGGCTCTGAGGGCGTCCCTCAGCTCCAGGGATCCAGGGCACCTGCAGGATCTCCTCCTCTGCTGCAGGTCAACCTTCTGGAGACATTGGAGTGCCAAATTCCTCACCCCAGATGCTCCTGTCACAGGAGTCACCAAACAGGGACGGGACGTTTCCTCACCTGCTCATTCCAGCTCGTCAGAAGAAGTCAGGAAGTTCCAGATCACCCTGGAATTGCAGCCCAGATCCCTCCCAGGGCCTCCCTGCTCACCACACCAAAGCTCATTTTCCATGGATCTGTCCTGATACCTCAGGAACATTTGAGATTTTCCTACACCTGTTCTAGATGGGTGAAGAGACCTTAAAGATCATCCCATTCCAGGTGGCTCCAAGTTGGCCTAGGATGCTTCCAGGGATGGGGAATCCATGGAATATCCTGTGCCAGGACCTCACGTGGAAGAACTCCTTCCCAATATGAACGTAAATTTCCCCTTTTTCGGTCTGAACCGATTCCCCCTTTCCTGTTGCTCCAGTTCCCGACCATCAGCTCCACCACAGCTTCCTTGATCTCTCTCAGATCCTAAAACCTGAATTCTTTCGTGTCCTGAGGCTCAGGAAAAGTGGGATGGTGAGAGGAACTTGCGGCCTGGCTGCGATATTATCATAACAGGCAATAGCCGGGTAATTTAAATAACTGAAAACCAACTCCTGTCATTCCATTCCAACTTGGGAATGTATTCACTGGGGAATTATCCATTTAAATGTTCCCCTGGGAACATTTAATGCCACAGGAGCTGCCTCCAGCACCAAGATTCCCTGCAAGGTTGAGGATCTTCCCTAAAGACTAAACCTGTCCCAAATGAGAAGCTTGGCACCCGATTATTGCCCAAACTGGACAAAATTTTCAAATTATTTGTTAAAGAGTTCAGCCTTTTAGGAGAAGGGAAAATGGAGCATAGGACAGGGGGAAAAAATGGCAACAAGAGAAAAAAGAATTTCAAAATTCACCATATTTAAATGGATACTGTCAGCCCATAATTATCATTAAACTGAATAATTAGGCTCAATAATGAACCTAAGAGACATTAGCAAATGCTTCTATCTTAAAAAGGCATTGAATCTTCTCAGTGAGACACCCAATATCTTTAGTCCTCTGGAAGGACATTTCACACCAGGGGCGTTTACAGCAAAAGAAATAAAAAGGTATCAAAAATAGTTCTACCAAAACACACTGGCAGAATTCCACAATTTCACTGATTTTTCTGGTTTGTGGTAAACGCAGATCTCAATTTAGGCTATGAAAGAGCATCTTGAGAGGTGTAAACAAACTGCAGCTCATTCCCAAATATTCCCAACAACAAAGGCTTTTGAGGTTTGGGGGATTTTTCCCTGGCTTTTGAGGTTTGAGGGATTTCTCTTTTGTAAGGATTATGTGGTTGGGGAGAATCTGGTTTAATCACCTGCTCCAGAGCTCGCCAACATTAATTACACATTATTACAGTGCCTGGGCAACTTTGTTTTTCTTCCACATGAAGATAATAATTCCCCAAAAGAGTGACTACCCCAGAATAATCCCACATTCCGACGCCACCCTGCAATCCTTAAAGACACTGTCGCTGTTCCTCACACGCTACATAACATTTCAAACACGGCCAGGAGAGCTGGGGAAAGTTTTGTTACCAATTTATTCCCAAATAAATCCCCAATTCCATGAGGCAGCATCAGCGTCATGTCCAGGTTATCCTGATTATTGAAAGGGGAGAGTGTCCAGGGATGGGAACGGGGCTGGAGCAGCTGGAAAAGGATCCTAAGGGAGCTGGGGGGGCTCAGCCTGGAGAAAAGGGGGATCCAGGGGGTATTTGGAATCTGCCAGGAAGGGTTTGGGATCTGATCCCAGGGAACAGGGACAGGACAAGAGGGAATGGCCTCGAGCTGTGCCAGAGGAAGCTCAGGGTGGAAAATTTGGGGAAATTCCTCCTGGAAAAGGGAAAAGGCCTTAGAAGGGGCTCAGGGAAGTTTGGAGTGGCCACCCCTGGAGGTGTCCAAGGAAGGACTGGACATTCGTCTGGGTGACCAGGTGGGGATCAGGCACAGCTTGGACTCAGGGATCCTGGAGGGGTTTCCAACCCTGTGCTCTGCTCCTGCCACTGCCAGGATCCCCAGGACACCAGGAACAGGAGCCAGGAAAGCCAATACTGAACAAAAATCTCCACAGAAACTGGGAATGTGGGGAAGGAGGGGACAGCTGTGGCCGTGCAAAGGAGATCACCCACAGACTTTGGCCAGATCCCTCGGGAATTTCACTCTCCTGGTGACAGGATGGGGTTGGTGCAGCAGGACAAGGACAGGGGACACACAGAGACACCCACACGCCAATAACCTGCTGCGACGTCTGGTTTAATGAGGAAGAACAGGTGAGACACAGCACAGGTTACAAATCGCCCACAAGCCGTGGTTTGATGCGGGGTGACTCAGGGAATGTCTGGGGCTGCTCCTCCTGTGGTGGTAGCCAGCCCTGGTCACACAGCACGGCAGAAGGGCAGGGGCTGGGGCGCTGCAGAACAGTTTTTATCCATCAGTAGCCATGGAAAGAGCTTAGAAATGGATCTGAAGGGGGTCTCTGACCAGATCCTTGACATTGCCACAGTCACAGAAGCACAGAATGGTTTGGGTGGGATTTTAAAGATGATTCAGTCCCACCCCTGCCATGGGCAGAGAAAGTTCCACTATCCCAGGTTGTTCCAAGCCCCATACAACCTGGCCTTGGAATCTTCCAGAAGGATGAGGCAGCCACAGCTTCCCTGGGCAACCTGTGCCAGGTCCTCACAAGAAAGAATTCCTTCCTAATTTCACCCTAAAATCTAAATTTTAAAAATCTAAAATCCTAATTTCTCCCTAATCTAAACCTACTGTCAGTGGGAAGCCACAAAGATCCCAACAAGCTCCCAAGAAACCAGGAACAGCCCATAGCTTTGAGAACAGAGTTCTTGGAAAGAGAGGAAAGCTTTAGAGAAGGAAAACCAGGAAGGGTGGAAGGATGGAAATGGATTTTTGAGGCATTCAAACATCCACAGATGGTTTTAATGCCGCCCCAAATGCTCAGCTCTCTCTGATCGCCATGCCCCGGAGCTCAGTCATGGAGCCGCGTCCTGCCGGTCACCCTCGTCCAGCCACCACGCCCTGGCCTTAGCAGCAGGGTCTGCAGCTGCCCACTGGGTACCCCCGGCCCCACCTGGCCCCACCATAAACTTGGGAAGCTCCAGGGGTTCGAGCAGCACCAAAACTACCGCCAACAACAGCTCCAACACCGGCTCCGACACCAGCTCCAACACCGGCCCCAACAGCGGCTCCAACTGCAGGGACTCCCTCGGAGCCCACGACGCTCTGCTGTGGGAAGGTGCTGAGGATGGGCCCAGGGAAGGTGACGACCACGGGAGGAGGGTAAATGACCACCGTGGAGTCGGGGCACTGCCGGACACAGGGCTCGTTGCAGGAGTCGGCCACGGGCTGGGGCACGGCCACGCCACAGGGGGAGGGACTGCCGTCGGTGCAGGGGCTCAGGGAGTGAACCATGGCTCTGGGATGGGGATCTGTGGGGCAAGAGAAGAGCAGAAAAATAAAAGAAAATTCACATCGGTTTCATAATCAAACATGAGGATAAAAGGCTATGAAGAGGCTCAGGGGACAGGGAGAATTATAGCTCAGCACCCAAAGTACATCCCTGAATTGTGCACTGAACACAAATGGAATATTCATGGAATATTACTTAGATCTCACCCAGATCTGCATTTCCCAGTGGCTGAGCAGTAACAAATGGATTCATTTACCAATCCCAGAGTGGCTGAGGTCAGAAAAGCCCTCCAGGATCACCGAGTCCAGCCTGTGATCAACCCCCACCTTCCCAACCAGACCACAGCACCAAATGCCACATCCAGTGGTTCCCACCAGGAGAATATCAGCCTGATCCCAAAACCACACTCGAAGGCTTGGTTAGAGAAGGAATTCAGGAGCTCAGGAGCTCAGGAATTCAGGAATTCACTTACCTACAGCACCAGAGAGTGAGACAAGAGAAGTGATGGTGCAAGATGTGAAGTGAGCACTTTTATACCCGGCCTCGAAGTGCCCAGCACGTGAATCAGCCACATGCAGAACTTCCTAATCAATTACTAACCACGATTGTTTCCAGATCCAGCTTTGTTAACGGATGCCAATTGTTTTAGATAAATCACTCTTGCTAATTACTGGTTTGTCCTTGTGTCCTGCATGACCTGTCCTTTAGTGCCTTCCCCACTCTGCAATTTCAGCTTTATAGGGAGGGGATTTGTCTCTGCATCTCAAATGGAAAATATTTATGGGGTTTAGGCTTGATCTTCTCCATGACTGGACTCATTCCTTGGCAGGGGGGAACCAGACATTTTTCTGGATAAAAATATCCTCGATTGAGCCCAGGAAGAGCTGAAAAAGTTAGGGATAAACTGGAGTTCTGGGTTCTTGAATTAAATATTTGATGAAAGATTAATAACCTGTGTTCTGGGTTCTTTAGACTAATAAGAAGTCTGATCAAAGCTCTGACACAGCGCAAAAATCCTGAACTTGATAGTTATAAACCCAAATAAGTCAGGACACCTCTTTCAACCTGACACTGAGTACCCAATTTACACATTTGAACAATAAAACAGAAAGAAAGGCATGAGCACACTTAATATCACATAAAAAACCATAAATCATGACTGTATTTGGAGAATGGCAAGAAGAGCCATAAATGGGGTGTGACCAAGGCAAGACCTTGTCAGGCATTTTTTCCATGGAGTCACTTCTCTGACCGAAGGGCACCTGAAGGTGCTGGAACAGCTGACGTTGGGAACAAGTGGGAGACGCCTCTGGAATCCCAGCTGCTGATGAATCCCTGCTGGCTGGGGTTATCATCCTGCTAAACCTGAGGAGGAGGCTCTGGGACAGATGCCGAGGGTGGCACCGGTGTGAGCTGGATGGACACTCCCACCCCCAGCAACTGCCCCGTTCTTGTTCCCATTCGGTTAAAAAAACAAAAGTATTTTCCTACTTCTGCTGTCTTTTATTAAACCTCTCCTGAAAGCCTTCTCCCTTGGGTTGGAAGGGACTTCTAAGACCATCCCATTCCACCTTCCAGTGTCCCAGCTTACTCCAAGCCCTGTCCATCCTGGCCTTGGACACTTCCAGGGGTGGGACACCAACAATAATGGAAGATAAGCATGGGGTTTGCAACATCCACCTTCACCTCAGATTAAACTGGCCAGCAATTCATGCCCAAAGTGAAAAACATTGGAATTAATACCTAATTACTGGTTTCAGCCAGCTGAAGATTAAGCTAGATGTTAAATCTTATCTTAGGGATTTGTTAATAATGAAAAGTCCAGATCTTTACTCCAGCGTGGGAGGAATGCACAATGTTGGGATTTGTTCCATCTGCTCGGGGTTCCTGTCACTGCAGGGTGGATTTCTGTGAACACAAACATTAACCCTGACAAGAATCATGTCAAGGCTTTCTGCAGGTGTTTCCAAACACACCATCAAAGCTCATTAGTGCCCTGATGTTGTCACTGTACCATTGTTAACAGAGTTGTAGCAGCTCAGGCACAACCAGGAAATAAAAGTGATGAATCAACAGGTGACACGTGGCCAAAACTCAGCACCTGAATGAGGAGCACAACACAGCAGTGTCAGCTCGATTTTCCAGCTCACACAGGCTGAAGGATCCAATTTCAGCTCTTCTAAAGATAAAGATGCAAAACACAAAAAAACCACCGGCTTTGTAAGGGTAAAACTGAAAGGGCTGAGGGAGATCTGAGCCCTGAGGACACCAGTGTGGGTGAAGTGTTCAGAAAAGCAGGGACCAGGGATCCAACCTATCTCTGAGACCAATGGAACACCAAAAACAGAATCCCAGGACCCCTGAGGTTGGAAAAGAGCTCCAAGGTCATCAAGTCCAAGCTGTGCCCAACCCCACCTGGTCACCCAGACCAAAGTCCAGGGATTCCTCAGACACCTCCAGAGATGGGGGCTCCAAACCTCCTGTGAGGAGTTTGGAGAGACAATTCGGTCTCCCACGTGCCTGTGGCAGGGGTGGAATGAGGTGTTCTTGAAGGTCCTTCCCACCCATACCCCCCCACGATTCCCTGATGACTCTGCTCCTCTTTCCAACACACAAACATGTGGTGCATTTACTAATTACATAAAACCACAGCTAAACCACCATGTCCAGCTGGGCTGTTTTTTTCAGGGGGTGCTCTGAGCTGGAAAAAGGGAAAAACACTTTTATCAGAGCCTGTTCTCACCCCAAAAACTCAGCTTTGCCCTGCTGATACATGAAGACATTTTAGTGATAAATGAAGACACTCTGGTGATAAATTAAGATGCTCCTGATTAATGAAGACACTCTGGAGGTGCTGAGCTGGCTCATCCTGGTGTTTACCCGCACATGAAGCAGCAGAACATTAAACAACACCCTCATAACAGGACCTCATAAACCCCTCAGAAACGCTCATTAATGTCTGACACGAGCCAAGCCAGCCTGGCTCAGCCCCATTACGAACAACGCCAGCACAGAGCCAATTTCAGGGCCGCGTCCCGGCACATCAAAGGCTGCTAATTACCCTAATGACATCATACATCAGCAGCTTGATCTCTTCCAAGGGCCCAGAGCATGGCACGGGGGCAGAGCCGAGCTCTGGGTGCTAAGCTGAGCTGTTGGGATGGTGCCAAAGCTGTTTGGATTACTCCAGAGCCATTGCGATGACCCCAGAGCCATTGGGATGACCCCGGAGTGGTTGGGATGGTCCCAGAGCTGGTGGGATGACCCTGGAGTGATTGGGATGGTCCCAGAGCTGTTGGAATTACCCCAAAGCTGTTGGGATGGTTTCAGAGCTGTTAGGATGACCCTAAAGCTGTTGGGATGACCCCAGAGCCGTTGGGATAATCCTAGAGCCGTTGGGATGACCCCAGAGTTGTTGGGATGGTCCCAGAGCTGTTGGAATGACCCCAGAGCCATTGGGATGGTCCCAGAGCTGTTGGGGTGACCCCAGAGCCATTGAGATGGTCCCAGAGCCATTGGGATGACCCCAGTCACTTCCTGCTCCCCCAGTGCTGCTTCCTCATGGTCCCACCCACAAAAGGAGCTTTAGGAGGAGAGGGACGGATTTCTTCAGGTACCTAATGAGGTCAGCGGGATAAAAGGCAGCTTTTCCTTCTCCTGTAAAGCTTTCAAATGGAAAGAACCTGCAGGGTGTGAGGTGTTTTTCCGCGGGATTTGGGGATAACAATGCTTTAACGAGCCCAAGTGAGTAAAATAATTACAGCCAGTGGAAAAGTTGCATGTGAACAAATTCCCTCCTGTGGTTTATTAGGATTTGGCACTCCATGGCTCAGGTTTTCCATGAAGCCTGAAGGACTATAAAAACTCCATATAAAAACCCCCACTTTCAAGCCTTCCATCCAGTCCTTACTCTCCACCGTGAGCTCGGTAAGTTGTTTCCCTATTTCTACACCTAAGAAAACACCATTCTGCTGGGACTTGGAACTGGAATCTGGAAAGCCCTGACACTGGGAATGAAGAGGGTTGTTACAGTTAAAGATTCTTTCCTGGGTTTGTTGCTGGCTTTTTTTAAGGCAGAGACAGAAAAATGGCTTTAAAGTTGAGCCTGAGATTTACAGAACCTCACCCGATTTGAGATGTGAGCTTTTTTCACCTTCTTCTTGGATCTGCATTTCTAATTTTCTTTGTTAAAATTGAGTTATAGACTTCTTTTTTATTAAAGGCCACTTGTTTTAGTAGTCCAGGTGATAATTATCCAGGTTTGGATCAGTCTTTGCCAGGCTGGGAATGTTGGGAATGTTGAGCCTGTGGAGACCCCAGAGCCCTCCCAGGATCTGCAGGGGCTCCAGGGAAGATGGAGAGGGACTTTTCCTCAGGAACTGCAGGGACAGGACACAGGGAATGGGGTCAGGGGGACAGAGGGGGAATTTGGGCAGGATTTTGGGAAGGAATTGTTCCCTGTGTGGGTGGGGAGGCCCAGCTCAGGTGATTCCATGGATTCTCCATCCCTGGAAGTGTCCAGGGCCAGGGTGGACAAGGCTTAGAGCACCCTGGGATGAGAGGAGGGGTCCAGGACATCCCAGGAGGTCCAAGGGTGTTTCCTTCCTTTGCTTTTCCTTCTGCTGGCAGAAAGAAATTCCAGTGTCAGGTGAGGCACCTGGAAAGAAAATAAATGAGAGTCCTTGTCTTAAAGAACTGAGAACCTCAGCACCAATCCCAGGTCCAGAAATTCCCGTTTTCCCAGGGATTACAGCCCCCTGCTCCTCTCAACAGCTGGAGCTGCGGGGGAGTTTTTTAGGAAAAAGCAAGTTTGGGTGGAGAGCTGAGGGCTGAGAGCTCCTGTTCAGAACCCAGCAGGGAATTCCTTCAGCTCCCTCCTGTGTTTTCCAGGATCCCCGGAGCCATGTCCTACTACGGCTACCAGTACAAGCAGCAGTGCTTCATCCCCGGCGGGATACAGACCTCCTTGACCACCTTCCCCCAGCAGTGCCACACCTCCGGG